CACCTGCTTGATTTTAGTGTCCCCGACATGTAAATCGCATTTCGGGTCCATCTTTTTACTGATAAACATGCATTCTGTTTTCTTGGAGTTTAAACTTAGTCGCTTCTTCTCGCTCTCTTTCGCTAGCTTCTGCAGGAGGTTCTGTAATTTCCCTTCCTGTGTCATCTGCGTATCTTATGTTAAGATTGTGGCCGCCAATGATGAATCCTGGTAGGACATTCAATTCGGTCAGAATTGCCTCACTGTACATGTTAAGTTCGGCAAGAAGACACATCCTTGTCTTATACCCCTTTCTATTTTTGCATATCTGTTGCGCATCCGGCAGCGTGCAGTGCCAGTTTATTACAAAGTGGCCTTGTGCCAGACACCACACTAAACTACCGAGTCCACAAGCAAGGTAAAAAAAAAATAATAATGCGTGAATGAACAGTGAGAGGAAAGGGGTCAATCAACGAGTGCATAAATTAATAAACATCAAAGAGATAGCCGGAATAAAATGACAAAGACGTCTGTTCTGTAAAACATATGTAACTTTTATTAGATGGAAACAAGTAGATTACCTCGTGGTACGAGATCAGAGAAGAGTTCCGCGCCTAAATAGAAATGCAAGATGAACAAGGCGGGAAAAAGAGTTTTATAAGGTTCTGGAAAAAGGAACTCGTTAAACACGAGGTGTATGTGCGCACAGATAGAAAGGAGTACTCACTGTGGATTTTTTTTTGGCGTTGTAACTGTGTGTGGTATTTTTGTGTTCAGGTTCATAGTTAGAAAAGAATGTTCAAAGTCGTCTCAGAGTTTTTGGTAAGGCATTGAATTGGCTGCTGGAAATTTTACCGGATTGCTGTGGGCATCTAGCCAGGAGAAACGAAGAATGTTTGAAGCGAGTTTCATGGTCTTGTGGAGTTGTTTACGGCGAGCCCAGGGAGACGAAAAATGTTTGTTCGTAAGTAAGAATATCCCTGTCTGTATTTACTGGTTCACTGACGAGGGGTAAGTGTAAGTCACCTGTTGAATACGAAGTTTTGCCCACGACTGTGTTGTGTGTCTCGCACATTTTCTAACAGAAAACGGAGACGGTCTGACCTGCGGATAGCAAGTTGTTCGTCAGTAGGATATCCCTGTCTGTATTTATGATTGACTGACGAGGGATAAGAATAAGCCACTTGTTGAATACGAAGTTTTGCTCACGACTGTGTCGTGTGTCTCGAACGTCTTCTGGTCGAAAACGGAGAAGGTCTGACCTGCGGGCAGCTTCAAGACGAGAAGAAGTCTTGGTAAAGTGTGAAGTCGACATTGTTGAGATAAGATATTCCGGCCCGCATATGGGTTAAGGGCGCGAAATAAATGAGTTGCCCGTCTAGTTAGGTCGAAAGTCGGAAGGCAACTGGTTGACCTGCGGGTAACGTCAAGACGAGAAGAAGTCTTGGTAAAGTGTGAGGTCGCCATTGTTGAAATAAGATATTCCGGCCCGCATATGGGTTCAGGGCACGGAATAAATGAGTTGCCGGTCTAGTTAGGTCGAAAGTCGGGAGGCAACTGGCTTGCAAACGCTGGCCGTTTGAGACGCCGAAAAACGCGCGGGAAAAAAATTCAAAATCTTCATCAGTAGGAGCTAGCGAAGGTCTTCCTCCAGGTTACTGCTACGTCTAGCTGTGAGAGGAAGGAAGGGGTGCAAACCGCGTGCACACATGCACGAGTGTGAAAGGAAGGGAGGAAACTCGCGGGCGCGTAAAATATAGATGGAATTAATGTGTTAATTCCATATATCTACTGAACTTATTTTCTATCCGTACGCAGGCCGTTTACTGCCAGTATAGGTTCTTGATTATTCTAATATCTTTCCCAAATATATCAAGGTTGCTGAGCAGTTCCAACAGGTCTTTGTGACGTACATTGTCGAACGCCTTTGCATAGGCGCACGTCATGCTGAATTAGTATTGCTCTTTCTGATAACATTCTGAGCATGAATATCGCGTTCCTTGTCTCTGTTCAGTTTTGTCATTGCAGCTTCTACTTCGGTTTTTAGAATGTCAGGACCGTCAGTAGTTCTGTGTATTGATGGTTGTTCTCCAATATATTCGTTCCAGCGCTGAAGAACTTTTCCCTTCTCTAATATGAACGTTCCATCCTTTGATTTTATCCAGCCTGTTGATAAGCATGTCTTCTATCCTGTTAGTTGCCTTATTTGTTTATGCATATCTCCTTTGTTGGTGTTACTCAATCTCTCTATTTCTGCACATTTTTTGTTTAGCTACTTCTTTAGTCTGCCTGCATTTAGTCCTTATTTCGTTGTGTAGTTTTCTGTATTCCGTTCTGTATCTTGGCAGAGTTTTCTATCTTCTTTGTATCATGTCGAGAATCTCATCAGTCATACATTCGCTTTTTACTTCTTCATCCATTCTCCTTTGGAATGATATCGTTTGCCGATGTCACTAAAGCTTCTCTTAGTGCGTCCGATTTCGAGTTTTTATGTCATAGTGTGCCTCGTATCTTATTTTCACATTGTCCATATATTTTTCTTTCAGGTACGAGTCGCTCAGGAGATTGTTGTATTGTAATTTGGGTGCTGCGTTAGGCTTCTTCAGTTTCCGTAGTTTCACTCTCAGTTTCCATATAACAGGGCGATTATCGATTCCACAATCGGCACTTGGATAGATCAAACATTGAAACATTGTATTCCTGTCTCTGAAATCGAGATGTATTTAGAGTCTGCCACACTTTTTACTAAATGACCATTGATTCGAGGTTAGCACGATTAACATGATAATTCCAATTGTAAGTAAGAAAGATTCCTTTTCTATGACGCTATTTGGATGTATTTTTCATTTTATTTTGTTTCGGACCTGTTAGGTTAATGTGTAAATTTAAATTTTCCGCATGTGCGCATATATACAGTGTGGGGGGGGACAAATATTCGTACACGTACAAATTTTTAATTTATTGTATTTCCAACTAAACAAACTTTTCATATAATTAACTGTACATTGATGCATACTAACTGATTATGCACAGAAAACAGAAACAAATATGATTTAATAGATATAAATCCCATTTATCCATTTTAATGGATGAAAAATGTATTCGTACAATACAAAAAAGAATACATAATCTTTATTTAATACTTTGAAGAATAGCCATTATTCACTTCTGCAGCAAACAACCTCTTATTGCAGTTCTCAATTAATGATTTTCAAATTTAGATAGACTTGGCCATTTCAGAATATTTACATTATTTTTAGCAAGCCAGTTTTCGTAGATTTTGCAGTGTGCTTAGAATCATTATCTTGTTGAAAGATCTAATCAGGAGAAAGTGCAAGATTTTCAACACAAGTCATTAAATTTGTTTCCAAAATATTTTGATATGCTGCCATCTATAACTGATATGTTGCCAATATCTTTTGTAGAAAAATATCCCTAAACCATGATGCTGCCACCATTAAATTTCACTGTTAGAACTTTTGTTTTTAAAGCATCGCCAATTTTCCTCCATACATGATTTCTAGAATTACGTCCAACCAACTCATTCTTGTTTTCGTATGCCCATAATTCTCTTTCCCAATACGATTTTTCCTTATCCCTATGTTCACGAATTAATTTCAACCTGGCATCTGTGTCTTTTCGATAAAAGTGAAGTTTTCCGAGGGAAGCGTGACTTTCGATTTTTCCTATGAATTTCATTGCTTATTGTCAATTTAGTGACACAGATTCCTGATGAAAGCAAACGATTACATTGGATTTTGTTTAATTTGAAGCATTAATTTCCTCGAAGATCTTGCAGAATTCTTCCGTGGAACACCTCTTCTTCTTTGGTTTTCAACAGTTTTGATTTTTTTGTACCTTTTCAATGAATGGTAGTACATGGAATATTCGGGAAGTCTGAGATTTTCCTATAACTTTTACCTCCTTTTCAGAGCTTAACAGAGAGCTTCTTCTTGCGAATTTGTCAATTCTTTACCTCTTACCATAATGAAAGTCTTCTTGCACTGTGATATATATATATATATATATATATATATATATATATATATAGAGAGAGAGAGAGAGAGAGTCTGGGAAACACACATACACACACGCGCACACACACACGTATATATATATATTTAGTGAAATTGGAGTAGATTTGAATAGCGAAATTAAATCAGAGCATTTTGTTTACTGATGGGGAAATCTGATCTAGGGCAGAAGTTGTACCCATTGAATCTGGGTCATCAGGAGACAATGGGAATTTTCGAAATAATTTTTATCGATTAAAAATTTAGAGCTGAGTAAACTAGAAAGAACTTTGGAATTCATATGATTTTGGTTGAAGCAGCCAGAAACCCCGTGGTAATCGCGTGCAACGTAGTAGGACCGAGGGTCAGTTATAATCAGCCGGGTTTATCTATATAAACGCGTAGTTATGTTGAAAAAGTGTTAGACGGGAGAAAATTCTTGAAGAGAGAAGAGAGAAATTGGCCCGGGCGAGCGTTGTGAGGAGGAACGCCACCATAACTTTAAGCCCTGCACAGAAATTTTTATCCCTCCATTGCAAGAATCATATATCGTTCTGGGACGATTTAACAACAAGATAATCACATACACACACACTCTCTATGTGTCTAGAATTCAGTGTATGAGTTTTGTTTTCTTTTACTTTTCTTTTCTATAACCCGTTTCTCTTCTCTACTATTCTTTTCTGCTATATAAAAGAGATTGCTAATTCAACCATTGAATCGATGTTTGTCCGGCTTTCTGCAGATATTAATTTTTTTTGCTGCATTCTAAATTTCTTAGCGCTGTGTCTACATCTTCAGTCAACTGTGAATGGACGGACATCACTTCTGCTTTCTGGATCAAACAAATCACAACGTGGGCAGGAAGCAGAATTAAACCAGTCAAATAATCTACGGTCAAATAATCTCAGGGGACCTATGGTCACTCTCTTAAGTTCGGTTAGGACTGAGTAGTCACCTCAACCCCGAGAGTAAGACGTCGGAGGTTGAGGGGCCGAGGCGAAAGTGTTAGACTGGTGCCGTGACCAGGATAGACCCGTGGGAATTACCACGGCCGTCTGAAAGAGGAGAGATAGTTGCATTTGTTTTGTCCAGTCGGGACCGAGTAAGACCAGAAAGGACTCTAGTCTTCAGACTATATTGATCGGAAAGAAAAAGAGAAGGAAGCAAAAGAAAAGAAAAAAAAAAGCAAAAGACGGAGTGGCGGACCTCAAGTAAGTCACTTTTTGGTTTCCTTTGTTCGCTCATTGCACTTCGATCTGCCAGTAATATTGTTGATCTTGTTTTGAATTTGTCGACTTTGTACGCAGTTGAAGCGCCACCACCGTGTTAAGTATTTTTCCTTTTGTTCTGTCGTTAGTCTCTCTTCTCGTGGGAAAGTGGTAGTTGACAAGACGCTAGGATGAGCGTAGCAGGATCAAACACCACAGATGACCTTGGGAACGTGGGAGTCCCCGAAATATCGATTGGCCTCAGGAAGCTGATAGGTAGCATGAAGCTACCTGCTTATAAAGGAAACCCTGCGGACCTGCACGAATGAATTCTGTCCATTCAGAAGAAGCAGGTGATCTATGGCTTCTCGGACCAAGAAATGGTGCTCCTAGCTTACGACGTCGCAGCGGGGCAGGTATCCAAGTTCATAGGGAGTGGTACAAAGAAAACCCGGCCCTGACGTGGACCGAGCTTAAATCCGCTCTGGTGTGGCAATACGCAAATGAGCGTACGGTCATTGAGGCAGTCAGGAAATTATTCTGGCTACAGCAACAAGAAGGAGAGACTAATGAGGAATTGGAGGAAAGAATAGCGGGGCTAGAGGCGTTGGCTTTTCCGGAGTTGGCTATTCAGGCCTTATTGGCCGATGTGTATGTGGACGCGCTGAGTGACAGAGACCTGAGGGGCGATGTTCTGAAATGGGGACCGGTCAACTTGGCCGCAGACATAGAGGCGGCTCGGACCAGCAAACGACTCTGGGATAGAATAAGAGGGGGGTTTAGGTAGGAACCCCCGGAGGGCAGCAAGGTAGTGATGAAAAAGAAGGACATGGAGCGGATCCAGATACGGGACCCGAAAGAAAAGGTGGAAGAGGACTGGAAGGCTGAGGCAGTTCCCAATAGAAGAGCCTGAGATCTGCATTATGGGTTTCACAAGCCCACACCAGGCCGATATGGGCTGGTGTGTTGGATTTGCAAGTATGGTGGGCATCGGGCCCGTGACTGTCCAACTAACTATGGAGGTGACCCAAGGTCTTTGGAGCCAGACTGCACGACTTGTGGCGAATTCGGGCACAAGGCTCGGTGGTGTACGGCAGAGGGAGACCGTAAACTGGAGATAAAGCGAGTTAATACGCTGGTGCCCCCTACCGAGATGGAAAAGGGTATTGGAAATGCCGATAACTCGAATGGAGGGGAGAAATGGGTTGGTAGTCCGAGAAAAGATGGTCATCCGAGCTCTACCCAACCCAGGAGGGCCCCTAGGCAGAAATTGGAGCCCCTAGAAAAAAGTGAACTCCTGTCACCGACTCCCACGTCTCGGTTGTCGAGAAAGCGTGGGGAAGGGAGAGAACATACGGGAAGGAGAAAGACACAGGTATATCATTTGCTGAGGGAAGAGACAGACTTTACCTGTAATGTGTTGATGGGAGACAAGAAGGTGAAGGCCTTTGTCGATGCTGGAGCTTCAGTGTCACTGGTTAGCTCCAAGGTTTTTAGACAGTTGTGACTGAAAACGAAGCTTAGTTCCGTCGATCTATTAATAAGTCAGGCCCTTGATTGATGATATTCTAGCTCTTTTAGGAGAGTCTAAATGTTTTTCCAACTTGAATTTGAGGTCGGGATATTGGCAGGTAGCACTTAGCAAAAAGGATCAGGAAAAAAGCGCTTTTACCTGCCACATGGGTCTCTTCAATTTTAGAGTTATGCCGTTTGGGTGTATTTAGTCAGTTAATCGTATTGAATGGCACTGAGGCATTTGCCATGGTGTATCTAGATGACATCATGGTGTTTTCAAAATCACCGGAGGAGCATTTTGAACATCTGCAGAAGGTGTTCAATAGGTTAAGAGAACATGGATTAAAGTTAAAATTATCAGTGCCAGTTTATGAAAGAAGAGACTTAGGGTTTATCATAAACAAAAAAGGAAGAAAAACGGATTTAGACAAAGTAGAGGTTTTAAGAGCCATGCCCTCACCGAAGACCTCCCCGAGAGATTAGGGGATTTATTGGAGCCATCGGATATTATCGGAGGTTCATACCAGCATTTAGTCGGCTATTAGGTTTAAGTGGACCGAGGATTGTCAGCGTGCATTCGAGGCTCTAAAGGACCAGCTGACAGCTGTACCCCTGTTGGCCTACCCAGACCTGAGTAAGCCCATGGTGCTGTACACCAATGCTAGCGATAAGTGCGTCGGGGCGGTTCTTACACAACCATGTCCCGATAAGGATGAACCAGTACCGGGTGTGCCTGAGGAAGTGCCGATTTATTTTCTGTCTCATCGACTCTCCGAGACTCAGCAAAGGTGGCCAGTAATAGAAAAAGAGGCATTCGCCATTCTGTATGCTGTGCAGAAATTAGATTAGAGTGGGGCTGTGTTTACCATTAAAACAGACCACAAACCCCTCAAATATTTGTTAGAGGTGGAGTGGATGAATAAGAAGATACAACAGTGGGCATTGAAGGTAAGTGGTTATAACTGCAGAATAGAATATTTGGCAGGGAAGGATAATACCTGTGCTGACCTGTTATCAAGGATTCCGAGGCAATTAGAGAGCAAATCTGTCAGGTTGGAGCTGGGTGTGGATGATAAAGCATTCCAAATTAATGTGATCAATTCACAGGCTTTGAAGGAGAGACTTGGTTGGGAAGATCAGGAAACGAGTGAAACGAAGATTGTTTCCGACCCCCACTGGAAGGATTTTATTAGGCAAAGCCAAGAGGATAGCGAGATAGCAACTATCAGGTCCAGAGTAGAGGCAGGGCATACCTCCAAATATATGGTGCACGATGGAGTGTTGTATTACCTTTCAGGAAGAGATGAGGAAGTAAGTTTAAAAATGGTGATACCTGAGAAGCTGAGAGCTGAAACTCTAGACCAATGCCATAGGAGGTTAGGACACCTGGGAATTGATAAGATGTATGGATTAATAATAAGAAATTACTACTGGCCTAAGTTGTTTAATGATGTTGTGAACCATGTAAAAAAATGTGTAACATGCCAAGTACAGAGTCGAAGGAGTAGGGTTGTTCCGAATTATCCATTTCAGAAAGTAAGCATGGATATTTCCGGGTCCTATGGAGAAACAAATAGAAGTAATCTTTACATAGGGAGTTTTGTGGACTGGCTGACGAATTGGCCTAAGGCATTTGCCATACCAGATAAGAAGGCACAAACGGTGTCAGATATAATATTGAACGAAATATTCCCTAGGTATGGGGCCCCCGAACAGTTGGTTATCGATAATGGATCGGAGAATGTGAGCCAGATTATGAGAGACGTTGGAAGAATTAAACATACAGCACATAGCCACCTCTCCATATCACCCCCAAAGTAACGCTAATCATTCTCTATATATTGCCCATCATTCTATATATATTGAATGAACCGAAAAGATAGACTTGTCAGATTTTAACAGTTTTACTGTCATTTTCTATGTTTTATTTGTAATAAGATTTTTCTTCCAAATATTAAGGTAAAGGGCGGGGAAAGCAAGTTCGAAAAGTATAAGAAAAAGTGAGGAAAGTAAAAGCAAAGAAAAAAAAATTTTCTATAGTGAATTCAAGTTATGCATCAAGTCCTTTAGATTTTAATTTCACCCTTTTACTCAGATGCCTGTGTACAGTAGCGGGTATATCCAACTTAATTCATTGTAGATGACAGTTAGCCAATTATCTCTCATGAAAACATTATTATTATTATTATTATTATTATTATTATTATTATAAATGAAGACAGATGAACAAAATGAAAAAAGAAGTTAGGAGAGAGAGAATGCAGATAGAGAAGAAAGTAAACGCTGGGTTTGCATCAACGAAAACATTTCAAATGATATTTTTGTTGGTTTTCGAAGCTCAAGTGATGCATTTCATGTAGATGTGGGCGCGCCCTTTCGGCCCACTTCTTCCTGCCTCTACCCATAAATACCTCAAAGGCTCAGCTGCTTTGTAACTTGTTGAGCGGGAAGAAGAACCACTGTCAGCAATTGAAAAGAGTATTATGAATAACGCCCTTCTTATCGCGAAGAATTACGACAATACTAGAAGAGAATTTATATACAAATTGGTCTTTCGTTATAAATGAAACGAAAATTTCGTAAACAAGTGACTCAGCATTTACTTCTTCTATTGATGAAGAAACGAATGTCAAATAGCCAAACTTTAAACATTAGAATTGGTCAAACATTTGAAAATCAGTCAATCGCTACAGTATATTTTATATGCCTTAATCGAACTTCATCGCTTTTCTTGATAGTGAATAATTCATGTTAATCATAGAAACTTAGAATTCCAAGAATCTCTTTTATACAATACAGTAAGATTTAAAATTTTAAAGTAATTACAATAACACCGAGATTTGAAATGAAATATAACGGTATAGATTTTGTGGCACTGAATATTGCCACTATAAAAATATATATTCGTAACACCTACACCCATCGAATTGCTCAATTTTTCAAACATGAAACTCTTTTGAAAAGGATTTTACTGGTTCAGTAAGCCAAGGTGTCAATGGAACAAGATGTCTAAATAATTTCTTCTGAAGAAATGAAAAACACTATTAGAAAGAATTCATAATAAGCAACCAGATCTTTTAAATCCTTTGAAATATCAATTGCTCAAACAATCAATCGTGTACATCAGTTAATGTGGTTTGGAGTAAATTTTGATTCTAACCGTCACTTACCATTTCATCATTAAGCAAAGCTGTCAATGTGAAATTATTCAAAGACACAGAAAGAGAGGGAAGAGAGATAGAGAGGCGAAGGAGAGGTAAAAAGTTATAAATGATTACTGAAAATATTGGAAGGGATTTGCAGTGAAACAATATATTACTTCCGTTGGCAAGATGAAATTATTGATTTTTGATAGTGAATAAATCTTTTTATTACAATGTTCATTTTGCACAAGGCCCTAGAGCTGCTAGAGGAAAAGTATTACAGAGTGAAAGATACACTTAATGGGGATATATTGGGAAGATAACGGTTGAACAGTTTAAGATTGTAGTGATCGGGAAAGCATTCTCTTGGGAGTCGGTTCCCCAGAGAAGCGGTTCCTCAGAAGAAGCTGCTCGAATGAGACTTACATTTCGGAAAAGAAATATGAAAGGAATATGGGCGGTTCGCTACAATGTAGGTGACATGACAGTAGGAGAGCAAGTCTGTCATCGAAAAGATGGAGTTCCACCTCTGGAAAGTTCGAACGAACATAGACCCCCCCCTCACAGTGGTGTAGGATATGTTGAACCCTGGGTTTACTTTTGTTTTTGTCAGCTGGGTTTGATTTTTTTTCCATTTAGTTCATGTTTAGTAATCAGTGTGTTCGGAAGAAGACTAGGTAGTGAGACGGTCACACCAACAGAAGATGCAACCGTAAAGTGTACTTATAAATTTGTATGGGGAATACAGAAGAATGGATTTTAATTCAACTATGAAAAAAATGATTACTGAATTTATTACTTTTATTTTAGTTTAAGACAAAAATATCCCATCAGTATAAGTAAATACACGAATCACCCTCCGATTGAGCACGTGCTTAAGTATATATGTATATGCATATGTGCCTCTGTATACACATATATGCTTATGTATACGCATATGTGCTGGCGTATACGCATATGTGCTTGTGTATACACATATGAGCGTTTGTATAGGCATATGTGCCTGTGCTAGACAATAATTATAGAAAATACGACCCGTAAAAAAAGCAAACAAGAAGTGGAACACTGGATTTAAATCTGCTGTTGGGCATGTCTGATATATTCCGTCTATACTTGTGTTATTCTAGTTCGATCAGTTTAACAAATAAAGCCATCCTTGTCAACACAAATCGAAAATCTATTATTCACTTATTTAGCACTGTGTTTTAACCTGCAGTAAGCATACACAAGTATATTAAGAAGTACAGAAAGGGGTTCAAACATAAATATTGAAAAAAAGATAAATATGTTACATTTCATACTAGTCTTTGATATTTCTGTGAGTTGAAATTAAAAACACACACACATACACACACACGGAATAATTTCATTGAGATAGTAGACAATTTGATTGTTACAAATATTTCTAGTGACTTTTGTACATTTTGTTAGTGTCTCGTAAATATGTAAATGCATATGATGCAAAAGTTATTGTGAGTAACTGACTTCTCTTTACTCTCTTCATTCCTGAATGAAAATTGTAATCAATAGTACAAAATATATTTTTGTTCAAATAAACACTGAAAATCTAATGAACATATAATTATGAAACAAGGTTATCTAAATAGGTAGTTACGAAAAAAAAAAAAAAGGACAGAACAGAAGAAACAATACAATAATGTAAAAAGGGTTTTAAACTTACCAAAACTATATTGGATAGTCTCGCCATGCTGTATCGTATTCTGTCTGAGTAACCAGGGGCAACTAAAAACA